GCTGGGGGGGCTGCGGGCCCCGTGGGGAGACAGCAGACACGCGAGCTTGTGAGGAGAAAGGGACAGCAAGTCTTTGCTGCTCTCGACATGAGCTGCTGCCAGCAAACGCGCCGTCGCTGCGCCTGCAAACAGCAGCAGCAGCAGCAGACGCAGCAGCAGCAGCAGCAGAAACGATGGCGCACTTCCTTATGCGCGTAAAGAGGCAGATTTAACCTGCTGCATTCCAGACGAAGACTAACAGCAGCAGCAGCAGCAGCAGCAGCAGCAGCAGCAACAGCAACAGCAACAGCAGCGCCAAGAGTAAACGCAGCAGCAACAGCAGCAGCCACAGCAGCAGCAGCAGCAGTCATGGGGAGAACGGCCACAGAAAATGTTAACGCAACAGCAGCAATTCAAATAGCAGCAGCAGTAGCAGCAAGAGACAGCCAGCAGCAGCAGCAACAAGAGAGAGCCAACAGCAGCAGCAGCTACAGCAGCGCCAAGAGCAAACAGCAGCAGCAGCAGCAGCACTGAAGCAGCAGCAGCAGCAGACCGATTCCGGGGATCTGTATTAGGCGTTTATTAAGCAAAAAGTGTCTCTTGTTTTCTGTGAGCAGCAAAGTTTGCTGCTGCGGCTTGTGCTCTTTTGCTGCTGCTTTGGCGAGGCTCTTGTTGCAGCAAATTCCTGCGAGCAGCAGCAAACTGGAAGAAAACTTTGGAAAGAAATAAAGCAAAAGACACAAAAGAAATAGTTAATTTAATTTAATTTAATTTAATTTGATTAATTTAATCTTTTGCTGCTGACCTCCTGTTGTTGTTAATCCTAAAGACACAAATATCTGGACCCTCATTGCTGCTGCCAAGTGAGCAGCAACAACCAGCAGCAGCCGCTGCACCCCGCAGCAGCACTCCCCGCTGCAGCAAACACTCGCTGCTGCTGCTGCTGCTGCTGCTGCTGGCACTGGTGCTGCTGCGGGTGCTGGTGTTGCTGCTAGTGCTGCTGCTGCTCTCGCGGGGTGCTGCTGCTCTTGCTGTCCGTGCTGTCCTTGCTGCTGCTGTTGCTGCTGCTGCTGCTGCTCCCCCTGGTGATGCTGCTGCTTCTCCGCCTCCGCCTCTTGCTGCTTCTGCTGCTGCTGCTGCTGCTGTATATGCTGTTGCTGCTGCCGCTGCTGCGGCAGCTGCATCAGCTGCTGGGG